TTCATAGGGTTCGAAAAAAAAATATGTTGTCATTGTGCTTATCATTGATAGGGGTATTACTAATTCTACTATGCTTGTCACTAAAATAGTATTACCAGTTCTATATAGTAAGGATTATAGAATGACTACAAAAACTGATTGTCACTTCTACATAGTGATAATAAAAAGGTTTAAGTGACACAAGTAATAACATACCAAATGTTGGACCAGGTGTTGCACTTTTAGTGACAATTTTTTATATTGTCACAATTATGGTATCACTAGTTGTCATTTTTTCTTGTAGTGGATAAAAACAAGAAAGAAAAACGGCTACAATAAAAAGATTTATAATAACATCGAGGGTATGGTCGGGATTTTTCAGAATTCAATATAAATTAGATTTTCTTGTCATCTTTGTTCCTCAAATGCAAGATTTACTCTTTGTTCTTGCCATATATGACTTGTTAATTAAGATACAAATAAACAAGAATTAATAGAATCTTGCGGGGTTCATACTAAGAAAACTGAAATGGAGGGGAAATCGGTAGCGAAAATAAGAGAAAATGAGATAATCGTATATCTGAGGATAGAATGAGATTTTCAAACTAACTTAAGCAAGTTGGACGTCCAACACATTTGATTGCTAACAACTTGGTTGAAATAAGGCGAAGGTAGAAATGAACTAAGAAATGATTTTAAAGTTTCATTGTTTCTCCCAAAATTGTAAAAGCAATGTAACTATTATTTCAAAGGACTTTATTGGAAAATCTTAAGATTTGATGTCTTCTATGCAAACCATAGTTTGTAGATGGAGCATCAAAATGTCAATTTATATATTTTGATAATCCTGTCGAATATAAAAAAAAAATTGAATCTAAAATATCAAAATAACATTGAGGGTCCATTTGATGTAACATGAAGTCTAAAACTCGAGCTTTAGACTTCATGTTACACTCCATGCCAAGACTTAGCAAGATTATTCTCACAATCTCTTTTAAATCCCTAATCCAAACAAATAAATCCTTGTAATAAGTTTGTTCTATTTTTCAAGATGAATTTTTTTTCTTTATTATTGAAGGAAACAAGTTTGATTCAAACTTCATTGTCAAAACAATTACCCTAAATTACGAGCTAATTACATTGCGTAATTGTAAAAGAATATGTTAAGTGAAAAATCAAATATGTTAAAGAGGATCATAACCACTATAATCTAGATGCAACAGTCGACAATCTTGTATTACAATAACTAGGTCAAAATCGTATAGGTGAGTGAAAGACCAATTTGGTGTGAAACTCTAATGCAAGGACCAAAATTTGACACCTAGAAATAATCTATGTGAAAAATTAAAATGTTGTTCAAATTAGTGTGCATAACCTTTCTCAAAGAGTGCTTAAATGTTGTTTTTGAATTGCCTAATTAGATCTACTTTAGTGAACGAGAGGTATGTCAAATGAATCCCTAATTTTTTGGACCTACCTCAAATTATCCAAAAAAGTTGCATATTAGCGTAATTTGAATTTCGGTATTGATTTTATTTAGCACTTCAATAAGTTATAAACTATCAAAAAAAAAAATAGCTTTAACGCATTCAAATCATATATTTATTTAGGATAAATTACAACCACACCATGAGATAAACTATAATTATGAAAAAAACTCCTCTTATTTGCAAATTCACATTCACGCTCTGTATTTTATTTGTCTCACATGTGAACCCTAAAAATGTCATATTAAATAGAATTTTTAGATTCGGTGGAATATTTTTTAGCATATCCCCAGTTTACCGCCTACCGCTTCACACGTGGCATAATAAAATGGTTCATTTCAGAATATTTTTTTTGTTACAAAATATTTTGATCTCGGTCATGATCAGGAATAACTCAAATAATGGACTAAATTGAAATTTTCGCCAAATCCACTTCACAGCCTTCCAAATCCAAAACACCCGCCAAGAGAATTTCAGCAGTGGTGGGTGAAAATGGATAATATCAATTTTAGGTGAAACTTGTATGTTAATACAAATAGGAAAATATGACATTTTCAATTGTCATAATCTTTTTTATTTATTTATTTAATTTTCACATAAATGGTAATTTGGACAATGCACATTTTCTAGTAGGGTTTTGTTGCAACCGTTAAATGCATGGGTGAATGCACTTTTCCAAAAAAAAGGGGAATTTTCGTAATTACATCTTAAATTAGGGGTTGGTTGTAATTTACCCATTTATTTATCCTTCTTAAACCCATCACTATATTCGATTGAAAAAGTTAAATCTGCCCAAGATATTTTATACAAATCTAAAGTAGTACTATTTCACACAAGGTGCTATTGCCCTACAAAATATCTATAGAATATACAACTATTAAATATCTCAAGTGGAGATCAATTATTTTGTTTTGGGTAAATTACAAACACCCCCTGAGTTATGGTCAATTTACGAAAAAATCCCTCTTGTTTGAATAATTACATCTACCTCCTCAACTATGATTTTTTCTTACATCTCCGCCTTTATGGTGTCAAATTCAATATAATCATCTAGATTCCGTGGAATGTGCTCTAGTTTGTACTCGTTTTGTGTAAAAATACAGTTTCCGATGCACCACAATCTGATATATACAAGCCACAAAACACATATTATGATCATCTTGCTTCATAATGTAGAGTTCGAATGGGATAAAACGGGTACAAAAGTGATACTATTCCATATAATCTCGAAGGTTCCACTAAATTTAAGGAGTTGATGGGTAGTTGTAATTATCCAAACAAGAGGGGGGTTTTCGTAATTTGACCATATCTCAGGGGGTGGTTGTAATTTACCCTTTTATTTTATTTTCAAATATTACCTGATTAATTCGATCACACATTATTTTCTTATTTCAATTTTAAGATAAACATGAATGCCATAATCCTAAAAGTCTAAAACCCCTAAAACTAGTAAATTTTGGGCCAAAATTACGTTGTAAACATATAAAAATATCTAAAGTTATTGGAATAAACCTCATTTTCAGTTATAAATTTGAAGAATACATTTGGGCCTTGTCTGGTTGCCAAGATAAGATTAGCCAAGATAAAATTAAATAATCTAATGAAACTCAATTGTATTATTAGACCTTGAAAGATCGAATAAAAAACATGCGCAAGATAAGGCATAATAACATAATATTTGCGAGTGCCGGCAAGTTATTGGAATACCAAACACCAAACAAAGTCTCATTATTTAATTAATCATGATTCATGACTAATCTCTCCAACCAAACGAGGCATTGCAATATAAATGATGATATTTACAAGCCAAGCGACACATATTTTGTTTCAAAATGTGGAGCCCGAATGAAGTAAATGGGTATAAACTGGAGAATATTCTACATACTTAAAAGATTCAACTAAATTTGACACCGTAAGGGAGGCGCGTAACAAGTCATAGTTACGAGATGGTTGTAATTACCCAAACATGAGGGGGTTTTCGTAAATTGACCTTACCTCATGGGTGGTTGTAATTTACTTCTACTTAATTTACCCTTTAACCTCAGGATAGATAGTTGCAATTTATTTATTAGATTAATTAAGAGGATGATTAAAAGGCTTTTAGGGTTAAATACAATTTATACCCCTAAAGTATACCCTCTGTAACTTACCCCTAAAGTATCGTTTGAAACATTTATCTCCTCAAGTTCAATTTAATTTGTATTTTAAATCCTAATATCTTAAAATTTTCTTTTTTTATTTAAAAGAACAATTAAATTATACAACTAAAAATATATGTTGATAAATGCAATATTTTATAAATGAAAAATATTATCTTGTCTTGGGTACTGGTACATATTTAATAAATAATATCTAAGTGTTATTTGGACCAATTAATTCAATATATTCACATCGATAAATTTTAAAAAATCAATACATAACTAATACTAATAGTAATCTTAAGTATTTAAGTTTATTTTAGTTCATTAATTTCTTAAAATATATTTTCATTTCATTATTATACAATATATATTACTCTTTATTTTTGTTCCAATAATTTAATGTTAGTTGCTTTTCATTTTTTATGGTCCGATAATTATTAGATTGTTATGTTTATTATGTTTTAAATTTTAAAATGTAAAATAATTGATGTTGAGTGGGGGTAAATGTTACAAATGATACTTTAAGGGGGTAAGCGTTGCATAGGTTATACTTTAGGAGTGCAAAATGTATTTAACCCTATTTTATAAGATGCGCCTTTTCTTTTCGGAATTTATTTTAGGGTAAATTTCACTTTCCCCCTTGTACTTCGATTCGATATCACTTTACCCCCTTCTACTCTCGATTGCATCGATTTGCCTTCTGTACTTGAAAAATTGTCTCAATGTGGCCCTCGTCGTTAGTTTTCAGACCTTTGACATTAACACCGTTTGATCTAATTCTGAAAAATACAAAAAAGGCACCCCTCATAGTTTAAATAATTATTAAAAAAAATTTGTGGCTGGCGTCGTGGACTATATTTTCTCATTGTTTTGATATTTTTTTAATTATTTTCATTTTTTTGTTTGTTTACTTATTTTTGTCTTTTTATTAATTTTTTGTTTTTCAATAATTATTTAAACTAAGATATGTGGCTTTTTTTTGTAATTTCAGAGCTTAGATCAAACGGTCTTAAAGGTTAAATGTCTGACAGCGATAGGGAGGGCCACATTGAGAAAAAAATTCAAGTGCACGGGGCCAAATCGATGCAATCGAGACTAGAAGTGGGGTAAAGTGATACCGAGCCAAAGTACAAGGGGGGAAAGTGGAATTTACCCTTTATTGTATGGATATTTATTTATATAGAGTAGACCTAAATATTAGAAGGAAAAAACACTTGTGATAAGCATCGGCTGCCACGTGTAGTGCGTTTAATTTGAACAAGTAATAAAGGGGCAATCTTTTGAGGGGTTAAGGTGTTGCCAAATATAATAACAATTTATAAATAATAAAAATAATAATATAAAGCATCAATCAGCCACTTGGCTAAATAATAGCTCATCTTTACCCCTCTCTCTCTTTCTCTCTCCTCTCTCTCTCTCTCTCTCTGCCCTTGGCCATACCAACTTTTAGATAGCGGGCAGAAAATGAAATTCTCCGTCAAGAGGGGTAATGGAAGCTTGAATCCTATCCAAAGGGGGTGAGGTGTGGGGTGGGTGAAGATGCGGTTTTTTAGGGTTTTTAATTTTTCCAAAATTTGTGCAAGTGGAAAGGGTTTTGAACGCATATGCAGAGAGAAAGCTTCAAACTTGGATTTGATGTAAGCTTATTTACTGATTCGAAGCTCCTCCCTTCTTAATTCTTCTCTGATGTTCTATTGCCATGCAAAAATGTTTTCTATTTTATCTTCCTTTTTAACCTGCTCGCTGAATTTATCTGTGTGTGTGTGTGTGAATAAGAGAAGAAATACAAAATAATCTCAAACAAGTTGGGCGGATTGTTTCTGAATCCGAGATCCATGTGTGTAATACATATATATGTGTTTATGTGTGTGTGTGTGTGTGTGTGTGTGTGTGTGTATATAGAATTGCAGAAGGAATATATATTATATAATAAAAAATAAGGTTGTAAAAAATTGGCAGGATATGTACTTTGTTCTTCCTTTGGCTCTCAAGGTGTCTTTTATTTATTTAAAATGGTGAAAGTGGTCTTGCACTCTTTTGTTCCGTGTCCTGCAAATACGAGAGACTCTAGTTTTAACGAGCTTGCAAAACAGAAATACTAGTATTGAATTATATATATCAAATATGTTCTCGTTTCAACAATTTCGAATCGAAGCGCATTTTGCATCTCATGCATGTGATAGAGATATCTAAAATCGTAAACATTGGAAAAGTGTGGAGGGATTGGAAGCTACATCATATTATACTTCATATATGGGTTCGAAAAACGGTTAGGCGTATCTATAGAGTCCTAAGAGATACTGAATTAAGCATTTAGGATTGTTTTTTTTGTTAAAGTAATGTGTTAGAATCGGTGTTAGAATAGATGCTAGAATATAAAGATGAGGTAAAATGAAGCAATGTGTTTCCAATGGTTGTTTGGTGCTATTTTTGAGTACTTTGGATTTTGGAAACAAGTTCGAAAGGTACGTTTCCTTGTCTCTTACAAATTTTAATATGTCAAGTCCCTTTGCTCGACAACAATTTCAAGAAAATAATAGAACTACTCTAAAGGTGATTGAAAAATTAACTAACAAGAATAATCACTTTGCCCTTTAGGGGTGGACCTTCATCGGGACTTATCGAAATCCATTTTATGAGTTTTATCTTATTTAACATGGAGTATTAGGTTCATTTTATTTTTATTTTTTGAGACTTTAACATTGTGCGGTTTACAGAAGAAAAACGATTTACGAAAGGTCTAATCAGGCTCAATAATTGGTATATGAACAATATTGGTACAAATGCGGTTCAATACATGAATCAAGATTTAAATAGAGCTAAAATCAAATTGTCGAATGTGGTACTAGACAAGGAGATTTTTTTTAACTATTGTTATTTTTGTTTGATATCTTTTTCTTCCTTCTTTCTGCACTAAAATGTTTTTGTGGGCACATCTCATGTTCGTCTAGAGTCGCATCTATGCAGTACAACATGCTATGCAATAAAGAGGAGTTCATGCGGGTCTACTTTATATGCCCACCTAGTATGCTTTCAGCATAGTTCCGATTGACAGGTTGAGCTCACATGTATAAATAATCTCTATTTTCAAAGTTGGTCTATTGCTTGAACTAATTAGTCGGACTTGGTAACTGTTTACGTGGTTTGAAAACCAACTCGACAGTGCCACATTTAGGTCTGTAGGGTAATCAAACTCCAACAACCTTGGACCAATTAGTTGGACATCTGTTTTGAGATCTCACCATGGCTTGAACTTTCGCTCAAATGAGCAGGGGAAGCTCGTTTTTTTTCTTTCTTCTCTAACTCTTTTCTATGTAGAAGGCCAAATCTAGTCTTGCTCCAAAACACTTTACTCTATTTTCATCAAAAACACGTAGCATGGAGCACAATGTTTCTAAATACTGGGCCGACTAAATATCTCTCTCTTTCTTGGTCTCTTCTACACGAAAACTACGTTCCTAATAATATTGAATTTTTTTCGACTCATGTAGGATTTTGAGTGGAACTTGTGAGTGCTTAAATGGCGACTTGTGGAACTAGTTATGATGCATAAATCAATTATTCCTAGTTATGGTCAGAAAAATCAAGAAACTATATGTGGTCCACTGGCTAAGATGGAGTTAACTTGTTTATGTTTCTTCCCTTAAAGCATATATAGTTTTCGTTCACCATCCTTAGAAACATCGACTAGTACGTAGGAAAAATATGCATTCATTGTCTAGTTTCTTTTCTTTCTCTGCAATGTGAATCCACGTCAACAACTAAAGGAAGCCTAATTATTCGACCACGTTTGCAGATATAGTTTTGTTTTGTATGCAATGATAAAAGCAAAGCATATATCCCATATATGTTCAACCGTTAAAAACAGAGCAATATTCAACAAAAGCTCGAATACAGAAGAGGGTTCAAGCAGCTTATTTATACCATGCAACAAGGGCCTCGCTCGGAGTAAAGAGGTAGGTAGATATTCCACTAGCAGCTTTTATTTATACCTGCATGCATTTTTATGATTCTGCAGATATTTTATTTTTATTTTACATATAAATGTTTGAACGAGGTCCGGTGTTGTATGCTTCTATTCTGTGGCAATGTTGAGATCTACCACCACCTTCTTTTTCTTAGCACAGTTATTGTCTTCAACAATCTGTGAGCATAAGATGTAAACAATTGTGTGAAATAAATTCATTATTGTGATAAAATGATCCAGTAATCGTAATTTAAATTCAGGGTTTCAACTTTAATAACCTCGTTGAGATGCTTTTTTTCTTCTTCCAGCATCTTTTCCTGTTCACATAATATAAGCTATTGTAAGCACTTATCTTACTTAACATGAACCAATTGTCCGCAATAACATGCTCTAGCATCTACGCTTTTATCTTTTCACACACACACACACACACACACACAACAATGTCCCTGCAATATAATAGTGGCAAAAATAGATTTGCGCACCTTTTCCTGAAGGCTTGACTGAGCATCCGTCATAAATTTTGTCTGCATGGAGTAATAAATTCTGACATCACAATGTTGTATGAATGGAAAGGAAATAATACCATGTTTTCTGGAAATTAACTTTAATATGTTTATACAGGTTGACAAGAAACTGGGAAGAAGCCTGCTAATTGTTCAAGAGATTCGAACATTCTTGCCACATAAGCTCAGCTCATCAAAAAGGTAAACAAAAACTACTATATCAATTTCACTTCTCTAGTTCATGAAATCGCATTGATATACCAACCACACACACATTCATAACTGGCTGGCTCTTGAACAAACTTTACGAGATAAAAGCTAACAAGAAAAACATAGGCAATCGAAGAAAAACATTATTAGCAGACAAACTGCTGGTCTGAATGAGGCATGATGAATTTTCTCTTAGCAGAATACTCGTCTAGATGCACTTTATATGTTTGGGGTCACATTTGTTTTCTCCAATTCATTGAGTAAACAAATTTACTAGAATATACAAAGGGACTGTAAATATGATGGAGAGTGAAGATGAAACCTTAGTCGAACGTATCTCCATTATTGCAGTCTCAAGTTGTTTCTGCATGAGCCCAAGCTCCGCCACACTTAGCTGGTCAACACGTGGCTCCTTTAGTTCACTGTGGCAAGAAATATAACTTTTGAGTAAACTGCACCGAAATCTTTTCAACCCGAAATCTTTTCAACGAAAACAAAATAAAATTATTAAAAAAATCGAAAGTTACCTTCCAACAGTTTTGAGAAGCTCACCATATGTAAGATAATCACCGTTTTTAGAGTACAGACCCTGCCAATCGATCACCTTGTGAAATTAATGTATATTTTGAACAACTTCTTTATTACAACTATGTTCCCATCTCTTATAAATAGAGTCGGCTCATTCTATAATATTATTATATTTCTGGCATTTCTATAATATTTCGTTTGACCAACCCTGCCTTTTCTATTTTAACATTAACATGGTGTCGACTGTCGAGTGTATCCATAGAGAGTTGGATTTTTTTATTCAAAAACCAAAAAAAAGAAAAAGAAAAAAAAACCCGAAAATTTTGAAAATAATCTCAATATCTAATTTGAAACCATGATTTCCGAGTGGTCCTCTTCGTTTTGTGACACTCTTGTTGTTTTCTTTTATATGCTGTTAATCTTGTTATTACTACTCTTATTGCTCCGTCTTTTGTTACACTGCTATCTCGTGCGAACCGTACGTAGCTAATGAAGAAATTGTTGTTGTCATGAACTAATAATATCTACTTATTCATAGACTCTAAGCTCGAGGGGAGTGTTACGTAACTTAAGGTGAGCATTGGTGTATATATATTATAGAAGTATCGGAATATATTAGGGGCAACTATAGATAACTGTCTGAAACCAATTTTCATTAGACACAAGACATGCTTGTAATATCTTGATTGAACCTCCTTAGTCAGCGAATTTTGATTTGAACTTGACCCTATATTTTTAGTTCGTCGGAATCCAAAATTGATAAAAATGTTCCTCTACTCCATATTTCTTTTTCGTCTTTTCTCCAAAAAAACCTTTTAGTTTTTGCATTTGTGTTCAAACCAAGACCTAATTTTGTGTTGACTAATATGGTTAACTAGCTAGGTCGACCTCAAAGCTAGGTGGACTACTGACTAATATGTTGTTACGTATATAAAACGGACTAATAGGTGGACTCCAATTTGGAGATATTTTAAATCCACACAAATGACCCAATTTATAACTAAAACGGACTAGTGTGGATTTGAAATTCTTCATCAGATCCCTCAATCCAAACAATCCAAACAAGTGCAAGAGATTTATTATTATGGATTTGAAATCCCCCTTCCAAATCCTACCATCCAAATGAGTCTTAGAAACTTTACTTCAAACAAGAAAATTGCCTTCCTACTTTATTTCCAAGTAATGAATCACGTCCGTTAGCAGATTTATTTCTATCTTTGGAAGAATTATTAGGCCTCAAATATCACACGAGGCCGATGTCGATAAAAATTCCGAACACCACATATCTCAACGCATAAACATCAATCAAAACCCTGTATTTACTAATATCACCCATCTATGCATATAAGAAAGTGAAGTTGAATTTTCCGACCAAACTCCTATTTTCTTTCTTTCTTTCTTTCTTTTATGATATATCCCTCCTATCAGATTAAATGACAAAAGACCAGCAGCCGTACAACACTCGTGAAAAATTACGAAATTATCTTCCCTAATTGATAAGTGATGATATTTCAAATTTCAGTAATGATCCCCATTTATACAATATAAATCTCGAGTAACCATCTTTTTTTTTTGTTATTTTTTTTTCCAAAATCGATTGTCGGAGGCGTGAATCTTACCTCTGTATCGCAACCATCTTTGTCACTCTCGACTCGACTTTGATATTCTTGCAGGACCTGCGCCATGCTGTTTAATAACAACAACAATAAAAACTTGATTAAGGTATTATAATGCTCATGCAAAAACAAAATAATATTGAGGTAAAACCAAAAGAAGAATAAAAATGCAATTGGAATAAAGTGAAGGCAAACAAGAAATGGCATGATATTTCACTAAGAAACAAAATCATATGTACTTAAAAAACATGGAATGTTGGAAAGCTGAAAAGGAAACATTCATAAGTTGTCTAGAATTTGCAGTACACATTCATTCCTTACAAACAAAAAAACAAACAATATATTGCTAGTACATGGAATATCCATTTGTTCTTTTTTCTCTCTTTTCAATTAAAAAATAAATAAAAATACATTTTCATGTATATATGAGTCTTAAAATGTGACCAATCGACCAATAAGCAACGTGGCCAGCTCAATAAGCTCAAGTTTTCACGTCTTAAATAAAAAGTGAGGTTTGTGATACTTTTGTTACATAGGAAATAATTTTAGATAGGCGTAAGCGAACAAGAATGATCAACATCAAGGTGCAAACATAAATGCATGATCAGTCGAAGAAAACATGATCAAAAGAGGATTTGCCAGTTACGAGTAAGAACTTGTAGCTAATGTTAGCTTTCAAGCTCGAGTACAATAATCTTCTTCCAACAAGACACATTTTGCGTAAAGAGTCGTGAAATTGCCAATGAGACCATTTAATTCCTTGGGGTTTTCTTCTCAATTTTTGTTTTTTGTTTTTTCAACTGTAGTCATGAGATGCAAAATATGTCTATCTATATAGTTTGAATTTAAAAAAAAAAAAAAAAAAAGAAAGTTTAATGGAAGGACCAAAATTTGATAATATCCATAGCGTGTGCTAAAAGATTGAACTTTTATGCTTATTATCTTGTTGAACATTATCTTTTATTGAGGGTGTACTACACATGCAACATAACATATATTATTTAGGGTAAATAGCACTTAATTATTTCATGTGGTTTGAACTTTGTGCACATGATCACCTGGTACTCCCTGATATAGCACATGACTCACTTGTACTTTCAACAATTGATTATTTACCAAGTGAAATATCATAGGGGGTTATGTACTTATATCAAAAGTATAAAGGGGTCATGTGCACAAAGTTCAAACTACGGGGGTCGTGTGCTTATTATATTAATGAAACTACAAGAGAGAGTCATGAGCATGAAGTCCGAACCACATGAGGGTCAAGTGCTATTTACCCTACCATTTATTTATATTAAATTAAAAGGACAAATGAAACAATAAAAATATACTCAATAAACAGAAATGTTCTGTTCTTTTATTTAATTGATCATATAATTTCATATAGAAATAAAAAAAATACCTGTTTGCTTGCAAACTATGCAACTTCATTAGTTAACATTCAAAAATACCAAACACACCTTTAAGTAACAGCTTGCTCTTATTGTCCTTCCCTATTTTTTAAAATTAATGCTCCTTTATTAATTTATTTGAAATTATACTTTACATGGTAAAAAGAATAAAACAATATTCATATTATCTGAATAATAAATAAATTGTACGTGTTGAATAACAATAATATTCTCTACTGATATTAAATTTGTCAAAGTACGTACAAGCATTAAATAAATATTTTTTTACAAATAATAATTTTACTATAAAATAATTTATGAAACGTTATACAAAGATGGAAAGTTAAATGTGATTCAACAAACGTTGTCATAGGCACGAGGATAACTCGTGACAATATATAAGATGGCTCTCAAAGCATATAACTATTAACTAACAAATACTAATATGAAACCTTATTTTTTTTCCCGAAGGATACTGTCAAGCAGATATGGAGTATAAACTATATTCAATGATTGAATGACAAATACTAATGTTGTGTAGGGGTACTGTGCACGGGTCGGTACAGCTCGATTTTTGCAATAAAGCAAACATGTACCGATAATATCGGTTTTTCATGTTTTAAGAACCGAACATGTCGATTTTTTTTGGGTTCGGCGGTGTTAGTCGGTTTTTTGGTTTTCGGTATCAATTTGGTTTATTTTCATTTTCGGTTCCGTCTATTGGTTCGGCGTAAAATCTACATTTGATTAACCGTGAGTTTAGACTTTCATTACATCGGAAGACGGTAAACATTTATACTATATATCAAAACAACGTCTTTTTGTATAAAATCGGTTCGGTTCGGGTAATCAGTTCGGCAATTTTTTTATTCTCCATACACAAACTGATATTTTTGATTTTTCAAAAAAATTACCGTATATACGGTTTTAAGTCGGGACGGTGCATATCGGCTCGGTTTTTTCGATTTTCGATTTCTCGATTTTTTTGCTCATCCCTAGTATTGTTGTGTGCCTTTAAAAACACACGTTTTCTAAAAAAATATATAATAAAATCAAAATACATCATTATGTATTATTATTATTAAAGGAATTTGTTTTTTTAGAACCCAAGAGTAACTTCAATGGGGAGGTAGATATCAAAATGAAGTATCAAACAATTAATTGATGCTTGAGGTAATGCTTTGATACTTCAAAAAAAAAAATGTGCTCCTTCCTCATAGTCATCAAACAAATTATTATCTCTTTATGTTTGTAATATGTTGAAATTTATTTATTTATTTGTCACACTGGAATTGCAGGAGCTATTTTTAAGGAATATTTGAGTCCTCTCTATTTCTGGGTGCAATTTTGCACTCAAATTCCTTCACCACCAGAGGAGTACTTAGGAATTTTCAAGTATCAAAATAGCAATTTTATTATCCGGTCCCCTTATTAATTCCTCTCTTCTAGAATTGCTCTAAAAGACAGATAAACTAGTTACTTCTCATCAAAAAAAAAAAAAATATGAACTAGTTACTAAAATACCTCCAAAAGTTCTATTTTGGGAATAAGAGAACTAGGGTTTTGAAATTTCCACCAACTAACAATTTCAACTCTATGTATGTAAACAAAAACATAATTCAAATAATAAAGAAAAAAAAAAATTAGGTGGTGTTAATTACCTATCGGCGCTACAATACTCATAAAGCTTTCCCCTGTTGGAGAAGATGACAGCGGCCACGTCGACATCGCAGAGAGCAGATAATTCCTTAGCTTTCTTAATCAAACCGTTTCTTCTCTTCGAAAAACAAACCATTCTCGCACTGTTCTCCTCGATTCGCTTCATCTCCAGCTTCTTTCTCCCCATCTTCGGAAATCTCTCTCTTTCTCTCTCCTTTTCCTTTTTTTCTTTTCTTTTCTAGAGAGAGAAAGTAGAATAAAACTTTTGGAATTGAATATTTATTCTGTGGATAAAAAAGAAGCAGGCTTTCCTCGCCAGCAGATTTTTGTTACTCACACAGTGTGTGTGTGTGTGTGTGTACGCACTTACTAGAAGAGAAGCTGGGGGAGAATTGAACTCTGGGTGAACCGTTGGGGAGTAATTTTCTACTTTAATTTGCTGTGCCTTTTAAAACAAAATTAATTAAATAATAATATATATATATATATATATATATATATATATATGTGTGTGTGTGTGTGATACTCTGATTACTGACGTCTGTGTACTATTAATATTGATAATATATAATATGTAATAGAAAAGAAATGTTAAAGGAGTGTAGACGTACTTATCCAAAAAAAAAGGAGTGTACACGTGGCGGCGGGGGGGGGGGGGGGGGGGTGGGTTTGGGTAGATACGAAGCAGACCACGTTAGTTCTTTCTTGGGCCCAATCCGGTACGACTAGAAGGAAAGTAGGTTAGCTATGATTGGCTCGCACTTACGGTGGTGTGCGGCCGGTTTTTTTGTATTCTTAAATAAAACAAGGAAAAAACGCTTTTAACCAGAACTGAAAACGTGTTACATCATACGGAATATGTAAGTTTATTTTTCTTTTTTTTAATTCTCTACATCAATCTAAAAATTAAAGATAGTAGGAACATATTTAAACTGTAAAACTTATGGTTAATTAATTGTCTTTTTTGAGCTTAGCTTAACTATTAAATTTTTTGATAAATGTATCTTGATTTTACTAGAAATATATTAAAAAGAGTAAAATAATCTTAATCATTTTATA